GATTGGATGATTAAATGAGTGATTGACTGACTCACTAAGTGGTTAATTGATTGACCTGTTTGGATGATTGGTTGACTCACTAAGTGGTTGATATTTTGATTGATTGAGTGATAGACTGGCTTAATAAGTGGTTGATTGGATGACTGACTCACTCACTACGTGGTTGATTGGGTTATTGAATGACTCAATAAGTGATTGTTTGGGTGATTGACTCAATCACTAAGTGCTTGATTGGGTTATTGAATGACTCAATAAGTGGTTGACTGGGAGATTGAATGACTCAATAAGTGATTAATTGGGTGATTGAATGACTCAATAAGTGGTTGATTGGGTGATTGAATGACTCAATAAGTGGTTGATTGGGTGATTGAATGACTCAATAAGTGGTTGATTGGGAGATTGACTGACTCACTAAGTGGTTGATTGGGTGATTGAATGACTCACTAAGTGGTTGATTGGGAGATTGACTGACTCACTAAGTGGTTGATTGGGTGATTGAATGACTCACTAGGTGGTCGATTGGGAGATTGACTGACTCACTAAGTGGTTGATTGGGTGATTGATTCACCCACTAGTGAACTTTTGGTATTGTCCGCACGTGACAGTACCCGATAGTTAAAGAGTCCATGAGATTCGAACCAGATGGAATGAATGACAACAATAATTATCCTGGTAAGAGTTTAAAATGGAAGAAGGCATACTATATGTGTCAAATATGACAGTCCACGTTTACCCTTTGACAATTCATTCAGGTTTTGTGTCTGTTTCCCGAGAACTAAGATATAGACAATAGACGGGAACATACTCCTCACGCCAACCGAAACTCGCCAACACACAAGGACATGCCGTTTTACTGTGAACTGTGCTGTGATGTTAATATGTATTGTATTGTGGTGACAGACACTTGACTCTCCCCCCTCTCCCTCCCCGCGTCCAATTGTTGCCGTTGTCTTGCTTCCCGTCTCACGATTATTGAGCTTGGTCCTGGGTTGGGTCGTGACGTCATAAGTAATGTCCTTCTCATGCGGTCAGTGCGCCCCGACACGGGGTAACATCTCTGTCAGATTCTGTTTAATTCACACACGTTTGTGTTTTACGACGGACTCTTCTTTTAGCAGAGATTTCAAACGAAATATATCGACCGAGACTTGTATTCAGCAGGCTTGATTCAATATCAATATATTGTTATTATTTATTAGTTTCAACAAAATCAGTAAATGTACTGTCGTGTCACTGGATTTTCTGGTTCATCGATCACTTGATTATCTGGTTGTTTACAGGTCGCAGGAGTACTGCTGTGCAAAGTCGGGCAACAAACACTTACTTGTTTATTCAAACTGCGCGTGGCGGGTGATAAGGGACGTGCTTAACCTTTTCGCGAACACCTGGTGTCTTTACTGATTTCCATAGGCCCATTGGCCGCCTCCGTGGTCTAGTGGTAGAGCGTCCGCCCGGATAGCGGAAGGTCCAGGGTTCGATCCCCGGCCGCGTCATACCAAAAGACGTTTAAGGATGGTACTTCTTGTTACCTGTCTGGCGCTCGGCATTAATGGGCTAAAATAAGGACTGGTCGGCTCGGAGTCAGTATACTTATTCATGTTAAACTGCGGCATGGTATCTCAGTCCGCTATCACTTTAAATCGGCATCAGCCCGGACTAGGACAAACACACACTCGTGCATGCCGGCGCTATAAAAGTGCAATAATCTTGGACGCGACGTTAAACCCAATTTCACCTCACCTCACCTCACCTCACCTCACCTCACCTCACCTCACCTCACCTCACCTCACCTCATAGGTCCATTCATCTCATGTTCACACCTATTTTGCACTTTGCGCCATATTCTTGTTCCTTGTGACATTGAGAACCAAATTAAATAAAAGGGATTCAGCCCTTTTCATGACTATAAGAAATCATTGAACGAGAGTTTTATCATAAGCTCAGTAACATTTGTCTGTGCAGAGTCAAATACAAAAGAAATTGTCAGGCTGAGGCATTAAAGCTGCCATGACTGTGTTGCAAACGAATGTATGTCTTAAACCTTTTTCATTACCTATCAGAAGCAGAATCTCTGCATGTGACACAGCAGGCGGGATTCAAAATTAACTCATCGTTTTTAGTTTGAACAAAATAAGGAAACGCTATCGTGTCACTTGATTGTCTGGACAAGTGTCGATTGTATGCAGGCCGCCGCCGTCTGTCTGGAGTAATGCTGTGGCGTCAGGCAATATTCAGTTACTTTAATATACACATTGTGAGAGTGGGTGGACAGGTAAGCCAGGACTTTTTCTCCCTGCAGTGTTTTGTTGTACGATAAACAATGACCACGAGTCGTTTATTTCTTATATGAGATATCAACATTTGTTCAGCCTTTTTAAGGCTGTCAATAAATTATACAATTTTTTAAAACATTTACCCGTATTTACATAATGATGTCTCCCCGAATACAACCGACCTCGGCAATGTCGGACAAATCAATTTTATGTACAGGGGGCGAGGTGTGGCATTCTAACAATTTACACGTCAATTGTCAACACATATTTTCCCAATACCGATTGTCATATCTCTCCCCATTTTGGGTGCGATCGTTCGGCCATAGCGTTCATCTGCGTCCAGCTGCATCTATGGGGAACAAGTCACTAGACACTCCCTCTCACAAATAACGTCGTCCAATTTACGTCAAGTTGCGAGCGCATGTTCGAATCTCAAGTCATGAGATGGTTGATTGGGTGTTTGACTGACTCACTAAGTTATTGATTAGGTGTTTGACTGACTCACTAAGTCGTTGATTGGGTGATTGACTGAGCCACTAAGTGGTTGAGTGGATGATTGACTCACTCACTAGTGAACTCTTGATATTGTCGGCACGATTTTGAATGAGTCCATGAGATTCGAATCAGATCGAATGAATGACAACAATATTTGTTAGAATGTAAACTTAAGTTACTGTGTATTGATATTTTATGGACGTTTTATTTGCACTATTATATCCTTTATACGTGCATGTTAACCGGAAATGATGATCAGAATTAACTGCCCCTGATGTTTGAATATATGTGTCTGTTGACATTCATGCATCGTCGTGCCTGATAATAAATCTTTCATCCAACGAGAGTAGTTGAAGCCTCTATCAAACACAAGGTTAGAAGTATGGCGAATTCAACAATATTTATCCTGTGAAGAGTTTAAAATGAACAATGTTTTATCGTGAAATAAACCACACTCCGTTCTCCATTGTTATTTGCGGTTTATAGCGTAGCTATCGTATATGTTGTGAGTGACGGGTGCTACGGGTAGGCCAGAACCTGCTTCCCCTTCTCGGACCCAGCGTCTTATCGTTGATATCACTTTCACACGGGTGGCCCAGTCGTCTAAGGCGCCGCGATTCGCTGTGCAGAGTTGCGTCACTTGGGCACGCCAGAAACCTATGATTGTGGGTTCGAATCCCGGTTCGCCCCGATTATGTTTCTAGGTTTGTCAGCACCATACCCGTGCTCGTGGGTTTCACCGAACTGGTAAACGTCTGAAACCTGCATCACTTCGGGCTTTCCTCCCACATTAAGCTGACACGCCGCGATATGACTGGAATACTGTTAAAAGCGGCGTTAAACCCAACTCGATTACTCGTTGAAATGGTTAATTAAATCAATTAATCAACTATTTCAACGACACTTGGGTCCTAGTGGTCTAACATACATGTCCACATTTATAGCACCTAAAATGCTAAACAAAACATTGTTTTGTTAAAGGTATTTTGAAAGCTATGGAGAAACTCCATGCTCAACTGCGAGAACACTGTGTGAGTCGGCCCCGCGTGAAGCACGTGAAATATGTTCCCCGAGCCTACCGCACGTGCACCTCGCCTAAATATTACTTGCTCATGTCGATGAGCCTATTGTGAGCAAACGTTGACCTAATCAAGATAACAGTAATTTCGTTTCTATCTGCTCGTTTCGTTGAACGAAAAACTACCAAATCACAAGTACTGTACAAATACTAGAATGCATAGAGAAACTATGTATAAAATATGCATGAAACATATTTCGCAGTTCATAAACGGATAAGCAATTAGTCCTGATGTAACTAAATATTTAGTTGTTATTTTCACAAGTGTTTTCCCATGTCGCCGTTGCAGAAGACTACTTTCGTCAACGTTCCGAGCGGACTTTGCGGGTTCCAATCTCACTGGATAGTTCTATCATCAAGATGATACGAAAAAAGAAGGTCTGTCATTGCCAAGTGGTGATTAACCAACAATTCAGCTGGTTAGACCACGGATTTAATTTAAACCACTATTTGCCCTTTACGGCAAATGGAGTCAGTAACTGCGGAGGGCAGGCTTTTCAGGGGACTTGAGCCAATTTGAAGTGTTCTGGCAAAAGAGCTGTTATTAGAGCAACACGAGTAATCTCCCTTTGCGTAACATTTGCACTGTGAAGCTAAGCGCTGTTTTCTTCCATAGTGTTATCTGAGGTATGACGTCAGGGGGATCCGTCTTGTGGTAGATGCATGTAATGTGATTCTCCTGGCGGACTATTGAATGTATGTTCTGCTGAAAACGATTGACAGTTTCCTGGACACGTGATCCTGCCAGTGCTGGTCGCGATGAGGTGAGGTGAAATAGGGTTTAACACCGCTTCAACCAATTTTGCACTTATATAGCTACGTGCATGCACGTGTGTGTGTGTGTGTGTGTGGCTAGTCCGGACTCATGCCGATTTAGTGTGCTAGCCGACTGAGATACCATGTCGCAGTTTAACATGAATACCCACTCAGTCATAGTATACTGACTCCGAGCCGACCAGTCCTTGTTTTAGCACCTTAATCCCGAGAACCAGACAGGGTAACAACAAGTACCTTCTTTTAACGACTTTTGGTTTGACGCGGCCGGGGATCGAACCCCGGATCTTCCGCTCTCCGGGCGGACGCTCTACCACTAGACCACGGAGGCGGTCTTGATCGCGATGACGTAAGCTAACACATGAATCATGACACATTAATACAAATTCCTCATGGTGTATTGTCAAATACATGTTTCTTCAGCTGGGCGTCTTGCTTTATTGAAAAAAGCAAACAACTCTCCTGTCCTGGTCGTCATAGAAATGAAAAGTGCACTCGTTCAGACCACGCAGTGTCCAGCAGTCCTTGCTGTCAACACACAATGAGGTATCAAATATAATTTAACTCCAGATATAATGTCTCTCTTATCCAGACACAAGTAGGTATCAAATAATACTTAACTCCCGACATAATATTACTCTTATCCAGACACAATGAGGTATCAAATAATACTTAACTCCAGTTATAATGTCTCTCTTATCCAGACACAAGTAGGTATCAAATAATACCCAACTCCCGATATAATGTCTCTCTTATCCAGACACAATGAGGTATCAAATAATACTTAACTCCAGATATAATGTCTCTTTTATCCAGACACAATGAGGTATCAAATAGTGCTTAACTCCTGATATCATGTCTCTCTTATCCAGACACAATGAGGCATCAAATAGTGCTTAACTCCTGATATCATGTCTCTCTTATCCAGACACAATGAGGCATCAAATAGTGCTTAACTCCTGATATCATGTCTCTCTTATCCAGACACAATGAGGCATCAAATAGTGCTTAACTCCTGATATAATGCCTCCCTATGGCAAACATATCAAACATAATAAAAAATGGGTTAAGAGCACACACCTGGTGGTAGATACCTCAAGGTACTTACTAGCATTTTCCCTGGGGGTGGAGTGGACAAACCTAGTGGTAGATACCTCAAGGTACTTACTAGCACTTGGCCTGGGGGTGGAGAGGACACACCTAGTGGTAGATATCTCCCTGTACTTACTAACACTTGGCCTGGGGATGGAGAGGACACACCTAGTGGTAGATATCTCCCTGTACTTACTAGCATTTGGCCTGGGGGTGGAGAGGACACGCCTAGTGGTAGATACCTCTCTGTACTTACTAGCACTTCGCCTCGGGGTGGAGTGGACACACCTAGTGGTAGATACCTCCCTGTACTTACTAACACTTGGCCTGGGGGTGGAGAGGACCCGCCTAGTGGTAGATACCTCCCTGTACTTACTAGCACTTGGCCTGGGGGTGGAGAGGACACACCTAGTTGTAGATACCTCCCTTTACTTACTAGCACTTGGCCTGGGGGGTGGAGTGGACACACCTGGTGGTAGATACCTCCATATACTTACTAGCACTTGGCCTGGGGGTGGAGAGGACACACCTAGTGGTAGATACCTCGCTGTACTTACTAGCACTTGGCCTGGGGGTGGAGTGGACACACCTAGTGGTAGATACCCCCTGTACTTACTAGCACTTGGCCTGGGGGTGGAGAGGACACACCTAGTGGTAGATACCTCCCTTTACTTACTAGCACTTGGCCTGGGGGGTGGAGTGGACACACCTAGTGGTAGATACCTCCCTATACTTACTAGCACTTGGCCTGGGGGTGGAGAGGACACACCTAGTGGTAGATGCCTCGCTGTACTTACTAGCACTTGGCCTAGGGGTGGAGAGGACACGCCTAGTGGTAGATACCTCCCTGTACTTACTAGCACTTGGCCTGGGGGTGGAGAGAGCACACCTGGTGGTAGATACCTCCATGTACTTACTAGCAACTGGCCTTGGGGTGGAGAGGACACACCTAGTGGTAGATACCTCCATGTACTTAGTAGCACTTGGCCTGGGGGTGGAGTGGACACACCTAGTGGTAGATACCTCCCTGTACTTACTAGCACTTGGCCTGGGGGTGGAGAGGACACACCTAGTGGTAGATACCTCCATGTACTTAGTAGCACTTGGCCTGGGGGTGGAGTGGACACACCTAGTGGTAGATACCTCCCTGTACTTACTAAAAATTGGCCTGGGGGTGGAGTGGACACACCTAGTGGTAGATACATCCCTGTACTTACTACCAATTGGTCTGGGGGTGGATTGGACACACCTGGTGGTAGATACCTCCCTGTACTTACTAGCAATTGGCCTTGGGGTGGAGAGGACACACCTAGTGGGAGATACCTCCCTGTACTTACTAGCACTTGGCCTGGGGGTGGGAGTGGACACACCTAGTGGTAGATACCTCCCTGTACTTACTAGCAATTGGCCTGGGGATGGAGTGGAGACACCTAGTGGTAGATACCTTCCTGTATTTACTAGCAATTGGCCTAGGGGTGGAGAGGACACGCCTAGTGGAAGATACCTCCCTGTACTTACTAGCACTTGGCCTGGGGGTGGAGTGGACACACCTAGTGGTAGATACCTCGCTGTACTTACTAGCACTTGGCCTGGGGGTGGAGAGGACACACCTAGTGGTAGATACCTCCCTTTACTTACTAGCACTTGGCCTGGGGGGTGGAGTGGACACACCTAGTGGTAGATACCTCCCTATACTTACTAGCACCTGGCCTGGGGGTGGAGAGGACACACCTAGTGGTAGATGCCTCGCTGTACTTACTAGCACTTGGCCTAGGGGTGGAGAGGACACGCCTAGTGGTAGATACCTCCCTGTACTTACTAGCACTTGGCCTGGGGGTGGAGAGGACACACCTAGTGGTAGATACCTCCCTATACTTACTAGCACTTGGCCTGGGGGGTGGAGTGGACACACCTAGTGGTAGATACCTTCCTATACTTACTAGTACTTCGCCTGGGGCAGGAGAGGACACACCTAGTGGTAGATACCTCCCTGTACTTACTAGCACTTGGCCTGGGGGTGGAGTGACACACCTAGTGGTAGATACCTCCCTGTACTTACTAGCACTTGGCCTGGGGGTGGAGTGGACACACCTAGTGGTAGATACCTCCCTGTACTTACTAGCACTTGGCCTGGGGGTGGAGAGGACACACCTAGTGGTAGATACCTCCCTGTACTTACTAGCACTTGGCCTGGGGGTGGAGTGGACACACCTAGTGGTAGATACCTCCCTGTGCTTACTAGCAATTGGTCTGGGGGTGGAGTGGACACACCTGGTGGTAGATTCCTCCCTGTACTTACTAGCAATTGGCCTCGGGGTGGAGTGGAGACACCTAGTGGTAGATACCTTCCTGTATTTACTAGCACTTGGCCTGGGGGTCGAGTTGATACACCTAGTTGTAGATACCCCCCTGTACTTACTAGCACTTGGCCTCGGGGTGGAGAGGACACACCTAGTGGTAGATACCTCCCTGTACTTACTAGAACTTGGCTTTGGGGGTGGAGTCGACACACCTAGTGGTCGATACCCCCCTGTACTTACTAGCACCTGGCCTGGGGGTGGAGAGGACACACTTATTGGTAGATACCTCCCTGCACTTACTAGCACTTGGTCTGAGGGTGGAGTGGACACACCTAGTGGTAGATACCTCCCTGTACTTACTAGCACTTGGCCTGGGGGTGGAGAGGACACACCTAGTGGTAGATACCCCCCTATACATACTAGCACTCGGCCTGGGGGTGGAGAGGTCACACCTAGTGGAAGAAACCTACCTGTACTTACGAGCAGGGGCGGTCGGGTAGCCTGGTGGTTAAAGCGTTCGCTCGTCACGCCGAAGACCCGGGTTCGATTCCCGACATATGTACAATGTGTGAAGCCCATTTCTGGTGTCCCCCTTCGTGATGTTGCTGGAATATTGCTAAAAGCGGCGTAAAACCATACTCACTCACTCACTCACTTAAGAGCACTTGGCCTTGGGGTGGAGTGGACACACCTAGTGGTAGATACCTCCCTGTATTTATTAGCAGTTGGCCTCGGGGTGGAGTGGACACACATGGTGGTAGATACCTCCATGTACCTACCAGCACTTGGCCTGGGGATGGAGAGGACACACTTAGTGATAGATACCTCCCTGTACTTACTAGCAATTGGCCTGGGGGTGGAGTGGACACACCTGGTGGTAGATACCTCCCTGTACTTACTAAAAATTGGCCTGGGGGTGGAGAGGACACACCTAGTGGTAGATACCTCCCTGTACTTACTAGCACTTGGCCTGGGTGTCCAGTGGACACACCTAGTTGTAGATATCCCCTGTACTTACGAGCACTTGGCCTCGGGGTGGAGAGGACACACCTGGTGGTAGATACCTCCCTGTACTTACGAGCACTTGGCCTCGGGGTGGAGAGGACACACCTAGTGGTAGATACCTCCCTGTACTTACGAGCACTTGGCCTCGGGGTGGAGAGGACACACCTAGTGGTAGATACCTCCCTGTACTTACGAGCACTTGGCCTCGGGGTGGAGAGGACACACCTAGTGGTAGATACCTCCCTGTACTTACGAGCACTTGGCCTCGGGGTGGAGAGGACACACCTAGTGGTAGATACCTCCCTGTACTTACTAGCACTTGGCCTGGGGGTGGAGTGGACACACCTAGTGGTAGATACCTCCCTGTACTTACTAGCACTTGGCCTGGGGGTGGAGTGGACACACCTGGTGGTAGATACCTCCATGTACTTACTAGCACTTGGCCTTGGGGTGGAGAGGACACACCTAGTGGTAGATACCTCCCTGTACTTACTAGAACTTGGCTTTGGGGGTGGAGTCGACACACCTAGTGGTCGATACCCCCCTGTACTTACTAGCACCTGGCCTGGGGGTGGAGAGGACACACTTATTGGTAGATACCTCCCTGCACTTACTAGCACTTGGTCTGAGGGTGGAGTGGACACACCTAGTGGTAGATACCTCCCTGTACTTACTAGCACTTGGCCTGGGGGTGGAGAGGACACACCTAGTGGTAGATACCCCCCTATACATACTAGCACTCGGCCTGGGGGTGGAGAGGACACACCTAGTGGAAGAAACCTACCTGTACTTACGAGCAGGGGCGGTCGGGTAGCCTGGTGGTTAAAGCGTTCGCTCGTCACGCCGAAGACCCGGGTTCGATTCCCGACATATGTACAATGTGTGAAGCCCATTTCTGGTGTCCCCCTTCGTGATGTTGCTGGAATATTGCTAAAAGCGGCGTAAAACCATACTCACTCACTCACTCACTTAAGAGCACTTGGCCTTGGGGTGGAGTGGACACACCTAGTGGTAGATACCTCCCTGTATTTATTAGCAGTTGGCCTCGGGGTGGAGTGGACACACATGGTGGTAGATACCTCCATGTACCTACCAGCACTTGGCCTGGGGATGGAGAGGACACACTTAGTGATAGATACCTCCCTGTACTTACTAGCAATTGGCCTGGGGGTGGAGTGGACACACCTGGTGGTAGATACCTCCCTGTACTTACTAAAAATTGGCCTGGGGGTGGAGAGGACACACCTAGTGGTAGATACCTCCCTGTACTTACTAGCACTTGGCCTGGGTGTCCAGTGGACACACCTAGTTGTAGATATCCCCTGTACTTACGAGCACTTGGCCTCGGGGTGGAGAGGACACACCTGGTGGTAGATACCTCCCTGTACTTACGAGCACTTGGCCTCGGGGTGGAGAGGACACACCTAGTGGTAGATACCTCCCTGTACTTACGAGCACTTGGCCTCGGGGTGGAGAGGACACACCTAGTGGTAGATACCTCCCTGTACTTACGAGCACTTGGCCTCGGGGTGGAGAGGACACACCTAGTGGTAGATACCTCCCTGTACTTACGAGCACTTGGCCTCGGGGTGGAGAGGACACACCTAGTGGTAGATACCTCCCTGTACTTACTAGCACTTGGCCTGGGGGTGGAGTGGACACACCTAGTGGTAGATACCTCCCTGTACTTACTAGCACTTGGCCTGGGGGTGGAGTGGACACACCTGGTGGTAGATACCCCCCTGTACTTACTAGCACTTGGCCTGGGGGTGGAGTGGACACACCTAGTGGTAGATACCCCCCTGTACATACTAGCACTTGGCCTGGGGGTGGAGAGGACACACCTAGTGGTAGGTACCTCCTTGTACTTACTAGCACTTGGCCTCGGGGTGGAGTGGACACACTTCAGCTTCCGGACAGTCTGACGAGTGTGTCATGGCCACAGGTTCTCCCCACGCCATTGTCACACCTTAGACAGAACATATCATGGAGGTAGAATCATGCATCTGGATGTTCACAGCGTCTCCCGTCATGTACATTTATCATTTACACATGCATAAAAGTTAGGCGCCACCCACCATATTTGTGAGCTGTTACTTTTGGCACTTCAAAGTTTTTTTGTGATGTAACTGTCATGATATCAGCAGACCATATCAGGTGTCACATAGACACCCTATTGCAAGACAGAAACGTCAGTAAAGTTTGTATAATCCACGGACATTGACCACAGCTACAACCCTATGCCTCATACTCATTACAATTCGATGAATGTATTTCTGAGGCCCAGGGGATCACGATGTCTGATTTTCCGGCCAAGAATGTCCCAGAGATGCTCGGATTAAGATCCGGACTGCAGGCCAGCAAAGGAAGAGTGCCAATAGCTTCTTTACGCAAATAAGCCAAAACTGCCCGAGATCCGTGTGGTCTAGGATTGTCGTCCATGTAAACAGGTCTTGTCTGAAGAGGATGGTTGTCAAAATGAGGGACTACCACTGGACGAAGAACGGCATCTTGGTACTGTTGGCCATTCAGGTTTCCACGAATTTTCACCAGCGGAAGTTTGCAGCCGAAAGGAAACACAACCCCATATCATGACAGACTCCCGCCACATGCTAAGGTCTCCTGGATGTTCCTTGGTGCAAAACGAGTGTTACGTTGCCACCAAACACGTTTTCGACCATCAACAGTTTGTAGTAGCAATCGACACTCGGCAGACCAATGGATCCTTCTCCAGTTGGCCAAGTTCCATCGACTAGGGGCACGACACCATATCAGACGATTCCGCATGTGCCTCTCAGTCATTTGAGGACGTTTAACTGGTCTTCAGGCATTATAACAAGCTGCTCTGAGGCGCCGCCTTACGGTCATCGTCGAAGTCTCTGATGGGTAATCCACTGCAATCATAAATCTGTTGAAGTGGCAAATGGATTTCGTCTGACTATCCTGAAAAGACGTCTATCCTCTCTGTTAGAGGTCTTTCGTGGCCTACCAGAGCTATGCCTGTCATTGGCATCATTGGTTTGACAATGTTTGACAATCAAACGATTGATAACACTGTGATGACGACCCATTTGTCTTGCAATGATCCTGCATGACATGCCAGCATTTTTTATGCCTATCACTTGCCATCTTTCAGCGTTCGTTAACTTTCTCCTCACCATGGGTGATTTTCAACTTCTATTTGAAGGGGAATCTCACACAGGAGCAAAATGCAACCACGTGTCTGAAACTTGAATTTCACTAGTTATAGTGAGTGAGTGAGTGAGTTGGGTTTAACGCCGCTTTTATTAGTATTCCAGTTATATCGCGGCGTGTCAGCTTAATTAAGGGAGGAAAGCCCGAAGTGATGCAGGACTCAGACGTTTATCACTTCGGTGAAACCCACGAGCACGGGTATGGTGCTGACAAACCTAGAAACATAATCGGGGCGAACCGGGATTCGAACCCATAATCATAGGTTTCTGAAGTGCCCAAGTGACGCAACTCTGCACAGCGAATCGCGGCGACTTAGACGACTGGGCCACCCGTGCCCCACTCACTATCTATAGGGTAGGGGAACTGCAGCAAAACGTAAAGCCCGCTTTCCTTGTGGTATCTGGACAAATTTGGGTTCATGAAACTATCGAAGCCTAATTTAGTCATACATCATCATATTTCGTATTTCTGATTCCCACACGTGAAATCAAGAGACTATGAATATGGTGGCGCTTAACTTTTGTGCATGTGTATAGATACATTTGTGAGAATGTAGCAATCGCCTCATAGAAATGAAATACGTGTCAAGGAGCTTGCAGACTTCATTCAACATCACGATGCAACCATGCAGCCTTAAATAGTTGGAAATACAAAGCTATTTTCATTTATATTCCTTAAAAACAGTTTCCCAGTGTTGCATAGGCTATAAGTTGTACAATATCGAGGGGCGGTCGAGTAGCCTAGTGGTTAAAGCGTTCGCTCGTCACGCCGAAGACCCGGGTTCGATTCCCGACATGGGTACAATGTGTGAAGCCCATTTCTGGTGTCCCCCGCCGTGATATTGCTGGAATATTGCTAAAAGCGGCGTAAAATCAAACTCACTCACTCACTACAATATCGATAGCGCGAGACTGGTCAGACTAAATGCTTTGTTTTAAATTAGATTTATTGACGATATACTGATGCATCTATGGACCCTTACATATTGCATGAGATCACACGCAACCAATCAAAACTTTAAAATGTTCAACTTACTGAATACCACAAGCAGGATAATTCTCATGTCCATTGTTAGCTGTTGCGTCTGTCCTGGGAAGTGTGCAGGTGTGACCCACACGTAACGCCAACATCGATAAGGACGCAGGTCAAGATTATCTCTAATCATATACTCTGCCATGTCCTGGGCCTGGGATTGCTTGAAAACAATATACAAACAATGCCTCCAAATGTCTACCATAAGACTGTATTGCGCAATTTAAAATCCTCGTCGAAAGCGCATGCTCGACCGCACCTCAAAAGCTGTGAATTCTAAAATGCTTGGCTATCAGATCCAAAGCGCCGGCTGTGTGTTCTCTGTCCTGCTATAAAGTGCACGTTTTAAGTTACGTCATAATGGACTGATGTCGTCGCGCTGTTCAAGTTTTGCCCCTCGTGAGCTAACGTATCCTTGGTAACATCGCTCTTTCATTACTGTTAAGCAAGATGGCGTGTCCACCTCAATCTTCGATGAAACTGTTTCATTAAACTTGTCGAATATTTGAATATTATTGCATGGGAAGAAATATGGCAAGATGATGTCAACCATCTCTTATGTCCTAGGCAAACCACTGTGTCACAAATTTGTCCTTCTCTGAACAAAGAAATGAGCAATCGTTGAAAAGTTTCATAACCACATGTTGTTGGCAGGGTATTGATTGTAGCTGTCTTACATTGTTTCTGTTGAGATTCGGTAGACGTTCATTGCATTGTGTTTGGACAGTGATTAGTTGTCAGGAATATAGTACTGTTTGATGTAAGCAGTTTTTAGGAAGTTACTTTATTTAGATGCTTTAGTTGTGTGTAAATTTCCGGCATACCGTGGACTTATGTTGACTATTCTGTAATGTTCTAGTGCCGCTAGACTGGGGAGGGCACTGTGTAGAAATGTCCAGTAGCAAAGTTACATTTGGTTTGTTGTTCAACGCCGCAGTCAGCAATATTCCAGCTATAAAACGACGGTTTGTAAATAATCGAGTGGGTTGCTGAAGACCTATTCTACCCAAGGATATTTAAGGGTCACAGCACACAAGGGGCTGAGAGCGTGTCCCTTGTCTCTTTCACGCATTTCATTACATCTAGACCAGCTTTCGTGTGAAGATCAATCATCACCCTGGATTCCCTGCCTTGAAGCTTGACCACTGTCGCCCCTGGGTGAATATACTATTATTGACTTCTTCTGTCACCACTGCATTTTTCGTGTTTGTTACTAACCACTGCCATCATGTTATATACTGTCATTCGACTCTATTGTGTACTGCCATTGTAATTGCTGTGCAGTAATTTGTGTTTATTTGTAAACCTAGTAAATATTGTTATACAAGTGTTTATTGTATCCCATTCGTTGGTTCTTTTGCGTACATATTTTTGGGTTAACATATTGTTTTAATGTAGTAATGGACACGTAACAATGTACACCTATTGCTCAGCGTACGGCATTTAGCAAAACGTACTTACCGGCTGCTATTGCTCTTCCTCCGCCATGTCCGACCCACGGCCATAGCACACCCCAGGCCGTCGATTCACGTCGGTTACGGTATCATGTAGCGCGACGAACTCGGTGAGCACACTATGCCATGGCACGCAGTTGCTACAGTCTGCTAACATTAATGGAGGAAACAAAGTTACGACTTGTGTAACAGACAACGCCTGAACTCACTGTAACCAACCACAGACAACCAGCACAGAAACGTCTACATTTCTTACACCTCATTGGGTGTGTCCCCAGCAACCTGTCAGTATGTTGTCCGTAAAGACGTATTGAGTTGGTTGATCAAGGCTCAGTTAATGGCGTCATGGCATCTTATTGGGTGTGTCCACAGCAACCTGTCAGTATGTTGTCCGTAAAGACTTATTGAGTTGGTTGATCAAGGCTCAGTTGATGGTGTCATGGCATCTCATTGGGTGTGTCCCCTGCAACCTGTCAGTATGTTGTTCGTAAAGACTTATTGAGTTGGTTGATCAAGGCTCAGTTAATGGCGTCATGGCATCTCATTGGGTGTGTCCCCTGCAATCTGTCAGTATGTTGTCCGTAAAGACTTATTGAGTTGGTTGATCAAGGCTCAGTTGATGGTGTCATGGCATCTCATTGGGTGTGTCCAGAGCAACCTGTCAGTATGTTGTTCGTAAAGACTTAAAGAGTTGGTTGATCAAGGCTCAGTTAATGGCGTCATGGCATCTCATTGGGTGTGTCCACAGCAACCTGTCAGTATGTTGTTCGTAAAGACTTATTGAGTTGGTTGATCAAGGCTCAGTTGATGGTGTCATGGCATCTCATTGGGTGTGTCCCCTGCAATCTGTCAGTATGTTGTCCGTAAAGACTTATTGAGTTGGTTGATCAAGGCTCAGTTGATGGTGTCATGGCATCTCATTGGGTGTGTCCAGAGCAACCTGTCAGTATGTTGTTCGTAAAGACTTAAAGAGTTGGTTGATCAAGGCTCAGTTAATGGCGTCATGGCATCTCATTGGGTGTGTCCACAGCAACCTGTCAGTATGTTGTTCGTAAAGACTTATTGAGTTGGTTGATCAAGGCTCAGTTGATGGCGTCATGACATATCATTGGGTGTGTCCACAGCAACCTGTCAGTATGTTGTTCGTAAAGACTTATTGACTTGGTTGATCAAGGCTCAGTTGATAGCGTCATGGCATCTCATTGGGTGTGTCCCCTGCAACCTGTCAGTATGTTGTTCGTAAAGACTTAAAGAGTTGGTTGATCAAGGCTCAGTTAATGGCGTCATGGCATCTCATTGGGTGTGTCCACAGCAACCTGTCAGTATGTTGTTCGTAAAGACTTATTGAGTTGGTTGATCAAGGCTCAGTTGATGGCGTCATGACATATCATTGGGTGTGTCCACAGCAACCTGTCAGTATGTTGTTCGTAAAGACTTATTGACTTGGTTGATCAAGGCTCAGTTGATAGCGTCATGGCATCTCATTGGCGTGGATCGTTGCTCATAATATTCATGACTGGATTTTCTTGGCCCAACTGGAATATTAACAGATCGTCTTCACATTGTTAAAGTTAAGTGTAACGGGTTTGGGATTGAGGCGTGGTCTTAAGGATGTTTGATGTCCAATGCCAACATTCAGTTTCAAAGAGATATTGTAAAAAACTTATTTAAAAGAAAATTATAATAAATACCAATAATAAAAGTCAATGGAAATCTTGTCAGTTTTGACAGATAGTTAATCAATTTCTACAAATTCTAGCTTTTGCTTAATTAATCTGCTTAAAAATCCAAGGTAATTAAAATAAAATCTGAGATATACGACTGTGGAATCATTAATAAAACTCACTTGGCCCAAAAACTATAATTTGAGTCTGTTATTTCTGTAACTGATTTGGAAAGAGATTGTAATCCTGGTGACGTCACTTCCCGAAATACATGTATTTTTGTTGAAAATAATATTTTTACTTTAGTGGATTTAAAGCATGAAACAATCTCAGAATGAACTACACACTTTTTGATGACGTGAACGCCAGTGAATCGCGGGATTATTTGAGCCGATCTCTGAGCTATAACTGTTAAATGTTACGATGATGCAATATACATAGACTTTACACGCAAGACGTGTATGTAGTAGTTTAAAAAACATATCTGGAACAGCTATTAAAACAATGCGGTTTCATGAACGTGGGTGAAAACCTAAGGTCTCGAGCGTTTACGACTGATAAAAAAAGAAATGCAACGACTGATGAGTGTACACACGAGCAACGCGGGCGGGCCCTTGGTGTGATACAGATGAGAGTCACCCATACCCGCATTGTTCGAATGTCTTGTTGATGTAACTAACCTGATGCAACGTTACAGACAGACCGTCCAGACATCAGACAGACACCAAGAACGTGCAGATCCAGGGTTAACGAAGTCCAACGAAGTCTGGTACTTGCGTACTTTGCATCAGTAGAATAGATTCCTGACAGTGACGTCATCAGCGACCAAAGCCCTAATGCATATGGATAGACGACAGCGGCCAGGCGACCCATGGCTCAAGGAATTAGAGCTTACAGACCTCACAGTTATTGATAGCACAACATTATTGAGACGCGCCCGGACTGTACGTCATGGGCAATTGAAGACATCCATTTGACGTCCCGTCAGATAGCTTCTGAATCTTGCATCTAATACAGCGAAACCCCGTTAGCCCAGAGACTCAGCAGTATATTGCACAAAGGGACAATATCATACCTTGTTTTGTCTATGTGTACGATCCAAAATGACATTGTTTCCCAGATTGTTTCGTCTACATATATGGCACGAAGGGACATTATTTCATACCTTGTCTCGTAGTAATATATAGTACAAAGAGACCATATATGTTACAAAGGGACATTATTTCATACATCGCCTTGTCTGCATATAGTTACAAAGGGACAGGGGGCACGGGTGACCCAGTCGTATAAGGCGCCACGATTCGCTATGCAGAGTTGCGTCCCTTGTGCACGCCAGAAACCTATGATTGTGGGTTCGAATCCCGGTGCGCCCAGATTATGTTTCTAGGTTTGTCAGCACCATACCCGACTCACCGAAGTGGTAAACGTCTGAGACCTGCATCACTTTCGGGCTTTCCTCCCACATTAAGCTGACACGCCGTTATATGAATGGAATAATGTGAGAAGTGGCGTTAAACCCAACTCACTCACTACAAAGCAACATTGTTTCATCCTTTGTTTTGTCAAAGTATATGGTACAAGAGACAAATGTCACAAAAGGACAGTATTTCAAATATTGTTTTGTAGCATAATATTGCCCCGTCAACATACATGGCACAAGGGCATATACAAGTCTACATAAACGTCACAAAAGGACAGTATTTCAAATATTGTTTTGTAACCTATGTGGTACAAAGGGATATTATTTCATATATTGCCCCGTCAACATACATTCCACAAGGGGCATTATTTCATCTTTTGTTTCGTCGTCGTATATAGTACAAAGAGGCACTATTTCATATATTGCCTCATCTACATATATGGCACAATGGGATATTATTTCATATATTCGAATATGTGTTATATTATTGGTGAAGTTATATTATCGCTCCCCGGTCAATGGGTCAGTGGGAACGGGGTTTTCTTTTTCATGTTCCTAGGGAGTATACAACCCAAGCTGTCTGTGAGTCACATTACTATCTCATC